AATTACAAACGTGTAATTCAAATGTTCAAGGAAATGTGATATTTGTACTATTAAAATCAATAATGTAAATAATTACCTTTCAATAAAGTTTCTAGTTAAAAAAATTTGTTCATGACATCTCATTTTTCTTCTATTGTTCTTCAGTTTATTCACTGATTCACATCCACAATTGTTTAATAACATTTAAAAAATAAATTCATTTTACAATTTCTGTTATAAATTATGCTTCCTTGGATTGCACCCGCATTGTGAAAGTGGCATGGATAGTAAGCACATAAGAATAAATCATCCCAATCAATCTGAGTGAATGTCTCACAACTACAAGAAATTCTTTTCAAGTTTTATAAGGTGTTGTGGTTGCAAATAAATTCATTAACAGATGGAGTGGATGGTAATGGCATACAAATTAATAGGGGTACCTTCTGAGCATTTACATTACAAAAATGACTCGAAATAATACATTATCACTTCAAGATGATGATGTGCTCTATTTAAGTTAACATTTAGTTTCCCACAACAATAAACATGACAGACACACCATAATTATTTGTAATTTTTGAAAAACGAATGTAACATGAATGATAAATTCTTCAGCAATCATTTTATTCGACATTTACAACACCTGAAGTGTGTCATCTGTGAAACCTACCAAAGGGTTTTCGCCGCTCTTATCACTGGTCGCAGCGCTGATCCCGTGAGCAGCGCGCTGCCGACATGAACACCTCCATTTGAATACATGGCGACGTACTCGTTGCTTGGCTCGCAGCGCTGCTTTCATCGTTTATCGCAGCTCCAACATAAACGTACCCTTACACGAGAAATGTGACTTCAATAATACCTGCACCACTCTCCAGTACAAGAAGTCGCAGAGACAACCTCTCATTTTTCTTAATTGACTTTTTTCATGTTACAAATATAATTACAAACTATTAGAATTACGTTGGTCAGTCACAAAAGCTTTGTGTTATCTCTTTCTATCTGCCTGTTAGTCTGTACAACAGTGAGTGTGACAGCATTGCTTGTCTGTCCTAACAACTCCGATCTCACAGGTCTGCTCTTGATTTCGGTACTTTTGAATAAATGTGAATAGAAATAATAATAAACAAAAATTACACTGTAGATAACTGCGGCTACATGCATAAAGAGAACCAGAAATTCAAAATTATAATGTACTTTAAGTTTACGAGACAAACCTTTCCCCAATGTTACCAGTAATTGCAGCTCGTGTCATGAAAACTCCAGTCTCCTCATCGCTTCGCCTCTCCCTGAAGCGGTGCCTTAGGAGACGCCACATTTGCGCAGGACCAGCGGTCGCTGCAGATGACATACGAGGGTCTCTTTGCTATCGCCTTCCGCTTACGGAGTTAGGAGATTTGTCACAGCAGGAGTGGATCCAGCCGATTATTTTTTGGGAGGTGAATATTTTTGTATACATATAATTATGTAAATAATAAATGTATTTGTTATTATATTTTATCCTATTTAGGTATTCACCAGATGAACTCTTTAACATGGTACAAGCTTGTTACCCCTTGAATTATGAGGTGATAGGATATGATGGGGGCTGAATGTACAATCACAAATATGTTTAAGCAGGATTTCAAACTGCACCATCCTTGGCGCAGACGATGGCTGCTCTAACCGTCTGTGCCACAGGACCGGCATTATTATAATTACTATTAATAATTATTATAACTTTTTAACCATAAAAAATTTATTACACATTTTTTCTTCTAACAATTGAATTTAAAATCTCTAAATGTATTCAATTTATACACATTACACTGATCTTCAAACTCTTCGGGCTTCTCTTTGCTGCAAAAAAAAATTATTAACCATTACTAAAAGTTATTTGTTTCAAAATAGCCACTAAAATAAAAAAGAAAAAATTTAAAATTTGAGAAAGCAAGTAAGGCTTAAAAACAATCATAGTTCATTTTTCTTTGTAAAGACGTTTTTGGATCAGTGGATTGCATAAAACAGGCAAAATGCACATTTGATTAGGTTTGGCTGGAAAAGGCCACAGTCTGCTAGTAAAAAAAATAAAGTGGAAAGATATAAGATAGCAGCTAAAAGTGATCAAAGGCAATTCACTGACAAGCATTACATATCAGGACCCAAAACCTTTCCTCCCCTCTACAGTTACAGTGTCTGTGAGATTCATGTTTAGTCCACAACACTGCTGGCAACAGATTCACAATGTAACCTGTAAGTTGTGCATTGGGTTTTAATAACATTTCTACATTACGTATGTAACCATGTTGAGTGTGTTTGGTAGCACAGACTAGCATGTTCGGTAACTAAGAAGAGAAAGAGATGGCCTAAAATTCATCTATAATATGAAGAAATTACCCACTGCTAAGGGAGTACAGGACTTGACGTGGTGGTGGAGCTTGTGTGCCCCGTGAACCTGAAGACGCTATGCCGGCGGGTAGCGTGAGCTACTGGTAGGGCCGTCTCCTGCCGGGACGGTCAAAGGAGAGGGGTCAGACGAAGAAGGTACTCCAGAAAGAGGACACCGGCGTTAGAATAGGCCCCAAAAAAGAAGAGGACCGTGAACGATAGAGAGGGAAGTTTCCGATGTAGTGCTTACGGCCTTCGAACATGGCGAGACTGATCCTCGAAAGGGTAGGCACAAAACTCTTAGCCGCAGCAAGGCCAATCACGTCTAGCGTCGGTGCCCAAAATACCACCCGCTTGTTTGGAAGCTTGTGGAGGTGGCAGCCTCATTACCAAACTTAACCGCCGCAGCGCTCGTAATACGCGGCCAGGGGATTCAATAACCTACTGGCTGTCTTCACCAAATGCACAATGCGAGGATCATGGGAAAACGACTTAAGCATGCCAAGGATAAGACGATTCGGTATTACGGGACGACCCTAAAACTAGGCTACTGGAATGTCAGGTGGCTAGGTAATTAAAGAAGAACTAAGATAACAAACTAACGAAAAAGGAATAGAATAGCTGTGATAACGGAAACCAAAAAAAAAAGCTGAAAAGGTACAAAAGATTATGAAACATTATACGATGATACTACTGTGGAGGGTAACTTTCAAATAGATGGGCAAGTAGTGGGTAGCAATTATGTTAAAAGAGGTGGAAAAAATATTGGATAGTGGGAGTATTCCTTATGTAAATGAGCGAATTGTGACGTGCAAATTTCAAAATAGAGAGGGGCCACTTTAATGACTTAGTAGGTCAGTGTAATGCCGCAGAAGTAAGGAAGGAAAGTATGGGACAACACGGATGTTTTATGACGATCTTCAAAAAGACAAATTGCAAAAAAATCAAAAAATAATCATGTCCTCGTCTGCTGGCGAACGCCTAAATGCAGGGTTGTAACATATCCGATTCGGAAGTGTGTTGGGGTATTTAAGGAACAGCACTTTAAATAAAAACGGAGAAGATTAAGACAGTTTGGCGTGCCTTCAATATTGTGAAATTTGCTATATACCTTTTTCAGGAAAAAGAAATACATACTAAGATTCACGCTGGAGTGCCAAGAGGCCTCAGATCACTGATAGATTATGTAATTGCCAAATGATATAAAATTAGTAGACCAAATAGAGAATGTACAAGTACACGAAAATGTGATTATATGTTCAGACCACTACTAGTGATTGCAAACAATAGCCAATGGTAGCAAAATGGAAGAAAATAGACCCAAGGAAAGAGATAAGTCAGGAAATTTTCAATGTGTACTTACTGTGAACAAGAAAGCCATAAAAGACTATATTCAAATCTTGATTACAACAATTCTCTGTCAGTGTTCCTAACTGTTGATGATGTGGATAAGGAAGCAGACAGTATAAAGGAAGCAATAGAGAGGGCAGCATATGAAACTTTAGGAAAGAAAAAAAGCATAAAGAAAAGAGAAGGGGGGGAAATGAGAGTAGGAACGATTGTATACGAAAGCCACTAAAAGATAAAGATATATCATATTAAAAATTCCTTCAAAAAAAACCCAAGAAGCTAAAGAATACTAAACAAAAAAGGAATAACGCCAAACAATAAATAAGATCTGCACATCAATTGACTCATGGAATAGGATTATAGAGTACCATCGAACATGATAACATGGAAGACAATTTTCGCGTACAAAGCGTTATAGCACATTTAAATCAGAACGGAGTAAAGATGTTGCTAGATATTACACATAATTCAATGAAGAACAAGTGGAAGGTAACACTATATAAGAACCTTTGTGTACTGGAACTGTGAACCAAAGAGGAAGAGCTTGCTACTAACACATACAGTGGATTCCATCTCCTTGGATGAATTAAAGCAAGCCTTGAACAGTAAAAAAGACAGGAACGCATGTGGTCCTGGTGGAGTTAACATGGGACTTCATAAATATATGCAGGCTCCCTTAAGCAAATTTAGACTGCTATCATCTGTTCAACGAAATGCATGGAATTTCTTGTAAGACACCAATTAGCTGAAAATTAACAGAGTTGTCATATCTAATCTTTAAAAAAGGTAAAAGAAATGAATGACATGGAAACTACAGGGGTATCCAGCCTCATGAATGCCGCTTTATAAAGTATTTGCCAAGAATTTATCAACGCTCTGATTGGAAAAATTAGCAGAGGCTAAATTACAAGAAGAACAAATCGGGATTTCGGAAAGGACGCTCTTGTCACTGACAACATTTTTAGTCTTAAAAAGAATATTATGAAAACAGACGACGAAAGTAAGATAAGGATTAACTATAGAGCCTTATTGCTCGAGAAACTTTTTGATAGCGTGGACAGACACCAGAGCTATGACTATACATTAACGAAAGTGGCTTCCTGAAACACCTCATAAAAACCATCAAAAATATGTATGCACAAGACAAAAAATTATAATAAAATACTGGCATAAAGAAGACTGGAAGAAATATTAATAAATTAGGGGAATTAAACAAGGATGTAGTTTATCTCCAAACACTATTCAATATATATATTTGATGACCTTATTAAAAAATGGATATGCATAGCTAGTTTGAATTACAGTTGAAGCAGAATAAACACCTAAACATCTACTATATGCAGATGACGTACAATACTGCAAGAAAGTGAAGATGATCTGCAAAAACTGTATTACACACTGCTCAAAGCTGGGAAAAAGAGAGATAATCTCGAAGTTTCTTAAAAGAAAAGGACTAAATTATGGCCATTGGCGTAAATACCCCATACGCTCACACAAATAGTTATTTGACAACACAGGTGATCGGGACAGACTTCAAATTTAATTACCTTTGGTTGTGACATCAGTTTATGAGACAGATAAAGACATAGAAAAAAAAACTAATAAATTCAAATTCAATATGTGGAATAATAAACAGGAACACTTACAGATGCAAGAGCAAGGAAAGACACGAAAATGAAGTTCTATTCAAGACAATGGCTGCTCCAGTTTCTCCTGTAATGGAAGTAAATCGTGGAATAATGAAAAAAAGAGACAAAAGTAAAGCCTCCAAACAGCAGAAATGAGATTTCTTAAGGAAAGTTAAAGGCGCTGCATTAACAAAGACCCGAGAAGAAATGAGACATCCGTAAAGAACTAGATATTACAACATAAATGAAAGGATCGTAGAAAGACAGGAAAGAATGGCAGCGGCCATATCGAAAGAATGGAAGAAGATTCGTATTCTACAATTAGTGATGAACTACCCAAACCGAGGGAAGGAAAAGATATCGGCCGACCAGAAAGAGATGGTCATCATGCCAGAGCGATAGACGGAACAGGCACTTCTGCCTCTAACTCCGAAATGGGAGAAAGAGAGAATGAAAGAAATTATATAGCTAGAATCGCTTAACACTGGAGATGAACTGCAAGTGATTCTGTTTGAAAGGTGTCAAATAATGTCTTCAGATGCAACAACAAAGAGGGCGCAATTTGATAATAAACACAGCGCAATGTATTATAGAGGACTTGTTACAGTTATACAGTTCAACATCCATAAAGACTGTTCCTGGATTGTAAGGGTTCCTTAAGGAAGCGAAATGACCGGAAGCAATGAACTTACACACTTACCCAAATTTCAACACTGTGTCGTTGCTAAGCGTGTTGGGGGCAGTTGTGTTACATCCTGGGAAACATGGTGTCCAGGCAACTGCAGGCTTTCACAATGAAAGTGGCATTGCGGTTTAATTTTGCAAATTGAATAGTTTTTAGCTTTTTATGATTTATATTTTACGTGATTTTGCGAATTCAAACTCCACCAAATTAGATTTATTTACCTTCATGTTACATTTAACTAATGCAACGCTGAGGTTTTGAAAAGTAGTTTTATTGCCAATTAACTGACACACCTGACTCTAACCATTACCAATCAAATCTGCCAAGCTGAAGGTCTAATTTGCATCTGACAATTTTTGGTAAACCCTGATCCACCAGCTTTCTATAGAGCATTAGTTTGAGGTAATGCACAGAAAGATGTAAGTGATACTGTGTTAGCAGATGATCAATCATGGTCTCATTTAATTTAAAAGTCCTGTATTTTTTGTGTGTAAAATTACTTCGCATTTCAGTGATCTTACAGAACAGTTTTCATCTCTTTATCTCTAATAAAATTGGTAGGGCATAGCATTGTGTTTCACTCCCCCCGCTGATTTTAACACTAGATCATAGACATCAAAACTTTAAAATTTAAATTCTGGCAAATTACCAAAATGTGGCTATGATTAGTTTTGGCCATTACCCTTCTAGTGTATTCTTACTACCACTTTGAACTGTCACTATTCAAACCAAAGCTACTTACTAGTAATTGAACCACTCCAATTCAATGGTGTTCGTCTTCTCAAAGTGATGAAGATAGTATGGACACCTCTCAGAAGGACTCATACTTACAAAAAACATTTTTAAAATTTCTTCATTCTCAAGCTGGAACAACACCAAAAATTATTCATGATGTCAATTAATACTTCCTTTCCTTCATCACTTCAACTGAAGTGTCAGTTAAAGGCAATAATTGGTGTAAAATCACCTGTGATAAATTAGCCTTTTCTTTGATGGCATCTGCCAAAAATACGGGTAGCCGAGGGAGCTCCACCACCTGGAACAAAAAAATATAATTTTCCACTAATGGAGACGAACAGTTTTGTTTACAAAGCCAATTGCACAAATTCACCAATATGTAGAAACTTTCCATAAATTTTGAACATAGGTGATAATGTCAAAATAATAGTAATTGAAAGAACAATGTTTAAAGATCTTGGAATATCATTAACTATTATCAAATACAGAAAGCAGCGCAAATTGCTCTGTACTTTGAACCAATTCGTTGAGAATTTAATAAGGTTACTATATACGATGTAACTATCATCTAGTCTACATGCAAAAAGTACAAAGTAATGATTATTTATAAATTTCAATTTAA